TCTACCTCAGTAGCATCAGTTGAAGGTATCAAGTCGTTATCTTGACCTCATTTCCTTCTAGATCTCATTTGGGTGAAGTTTAGGGCTTTTCTAGCATATTAGGAAGCTTTTCTTGTGTATGAGCTAAGATCTGAAGTTGCAACTTCAGATCTAAGCTCTCTTGGGTCTCTAGGTCCATAAAGCTTTCAGCTTTAGCAAGTGTGAACCTCTCCTCAAGTGTAAAACTCCATTACAAGCTTGGTTTTGTCATTATAAGACCTTAGAGCCTTGGATGCACGTAAAGTTTGCAACTTTACGTGATAAACATGCCTTGGGGAGCTGGATCTGCAGTATGGAAGGACTCGGCGAATGGGGGGTTTTCATGACTACTTGAGTTCTGGAAGGACTCGGCGAGTTAGAGACTGCATTCGACGAGTCGGGTCAATATGGATTGTTGACCTTGATCATTGACTTTGACTTTGACCAAGGGTTGACTATTTGACTTATGGGGCATTTTGGGAAGTTGGAAATTTATGAGTATGGTTTTATGGTGAATATAGGTGGTGGAGTTTGTGGCGGCGATCCGAGAGTTTGAGCTTATCTTTCGAGTCGACAGTTGCAAGGTGAGTTATCCCCACTATATCAATAGGGTCCAAGGCAAAGGCGTGATCGTACAGCTCCTCACTTTTTATGACTTTGTTTCTGGGATACTTTGATATGATACATTTTGAAAACAAGTTTGTAATGGTTTATGGATTTGAAATGTTTAATTTAAAAGTTTAAATTTGGCATGATTTTTATGGGTGTTACAATTCGACTTTAAGTCTTTTCTATCTTGATGTGTTTGTTACACTTTGATAAAATATTAGAATTGTCAAGTCTCGGATTTGAACCGGTACTAAGACATGTTGATAAGTTTTAAAAAATCTATTATTTGCCAAATTGTTTAACCAAAACAAGATCTTTAGTCAAACCTAATATTGTCAATCAAATTCAAACATACTCTTAAATTCATTTACTAGAAATTGCCTTAAGTTTTGCAAGTTTTCCGATAGGGTTCGACCCTTCATAAGATTGAAGGGTTTTAAACACCCAATACATGTTTACAATGAAAATAATACTCCATATTGGATTCACATTCATCATTTTTTATTTATTTTGGTCCTAAAGTAATTACGACTTTTAGAAGCACAATAACATTGCATTATAATTTCCTACTCAAAATGGTCAACTCATGTTGAGAGTTAAATTTATTGTGTCTGTCTTTGCGAATGTCTATATACAAATATATGTTGATTTGCGAAAAACACATTATATCTATTTGAGTAATATTTTATTTCTCATTATCTTTTGTGTATGTTTCGAAGTCATTAAGCCCCATACTTAGTTGCTCCTTCGTAAACCTTCATTATATGTGTTATAGCATGAATGTGTGGTTGATACTGTAATCTCCAAAAATCTTTTTCCAGTTGAGATATTATCATGTACTATGCTCCACGTGTCTTCTCATAATAATGAAATTTGTCACGACTGCCTCCTTTTTCTAACTATGTATATAGGTGGTGTGACCTTAGGATCATGTGTGCAAAAAGTCGTTATTCCTTGCATTGTAATCCTTCGTTGTCTCTGGTTTCCTTTGTTCATATTCATCATGAATATTATAGCAAGCTGAAATAAGAGAATTATTGAAAATGTATATCTTCTTGTTGATTTTATTTCGTAATTCATTTGCCCTTATTAACTAGTTTGTGTCCCGTCAATTGGTATCAGAGCATGAATCAAATTTCCTTATGGGAATTCTGATCTGTTTGTGATCCTTGAATACCAAGTTTCATTCGGATTTCATTTCATCTATTCCCTGAAAAGTTTATTGATTATTCTAACATCATGTTCAGTTATGGAAAATTTCAATCAAGAAGTTATTCACCTCAACTACTCCAACAAATGTCGGGTGACTATGGTGACTCGGTAGGAAGAATGGAAGACTATCTCTACGCCATTGATGAAGACGCACAGAGATCAGTGAAGCATGGTCCTAAGTCCTCACATTCCTGTAATCATAACTCGATTTGGTATTGATGATGCTGATACTGAAGCTGAAAAAGCTCTCACATCTGCAGATAAGAAGAAATTGAAAACGAACGTAAAACTAAGCGTGAACTTTGTTATGGTATACCTCCAAACATCAATTCTAAATTGAAAAATTGTGTTTCTAATTATGATATGTCGAATAAGCTTAAAGATCATATATGAAGGAACTAAGAAACGTAAGAAATCACGAATGGCCAGTTATTTAACTGAATTTCTTGAGTTTCGTAAAAACCCAGACGAATCACTTGAAAGTGCTTATGAATGTTTCAGTCTCATGGTAACTAATCTGGAATCTCATCAAGTTATCAAAAGTTAGCAGGAGATTAACATAACCTTTATGTCATCATTACATCAGGAATGGAAACTTACAACCTCTATTATCAAAAGTCATGAAAGAGTTGATTCCTACACTCTAACTGATTTGTTTGATATTTTGAAAACTCGTGAAGAATATATCATAGCCCCTGAGAAACAGGAAATCATTTGGTGGACCACTCATTGCTTTCAAAAGAAGAATGTACGAAACAAGTTGTGTTAGATGAAGAAGTCGTGATTGCGGTCTCTAATGATGATGAAGAACTCGCACTCTATGTCAACAATAACAAAGCGAAAAAGTTTTACAAGAAACCATCCTTAAATTTTCATGAAGCTAATACTAATGGTGAAAAGTCTTTCGCAAAAGAATGGAAGCCAAATCCAACTTACAAAGCAAAAACTCAAGGAGTTAAGTTTGAAAGCGGAAAGAAGAAATTAGTTAGTGACTCTATTTTTTATTGTAACTACTACAATGGGAAAATTCATTTCGTAAAAAATTCTATGCTTAAGAAAAGACAAACAAAATAGGAACCAGTCAAGGATGAAGTTTACTATGTTGAAAAGTTGAATGAAATTCGTGATTTGAAGAAAAAAGCTAAAGATTTTTCTCTTCTTGCACGAGAAGATGACTGCAAAGGTACTCAAGTATGGTCTTTTTTGATGATGAAGATATGCGACGACTAACTCATGGAGCGTTCATGGAAACTCATGATGGAAATGTCGCATCAGACAAAGTTGGATCATTCTGCAAAAACCAAATGAACAATCACTCAATAGGTAATCTATATTCTCATTGCAAATAATATTTCAATTTCTAAATATAAATATGATATTGCTAAATTTGAAAAAATTGCATAGTCTTGAGTCAGGCACTAATATTTGTGAATAAGAAGACTTATAAGGCACAAGAGAGATTAGAAGAGTTTCAGGCTGCGATTGATAGAAGGGATCTGAAAATTAAAATTCTAAAGAAGGATGTAGTAAACTTAGATGGTTATAGAATCTTAGTGAGGAGGGAAAATCTTAAGTTGATAAAATAGATAAATATTTTTTGTAATACAACTAAAAGATTGTACTCTCTTTTCAAAGATTTTTATCATTCAAATGAGAGGGGGTGTGCACAGATATGTAGTCATTGTGAGTTGAGAGTTGAACATTGTAAATAGCTAGGATCATATTTTTATTCTTTGTCTCCTCTTAATAGACGACTATCATGTTTAGCACCAAAATTCATCTTGTTGATTTGTGATTATTCTTATTTCGCATTATGCCAAATCCGAATTGCTCAATCCAACAACTCATTTACGCAAATAATCATTGATTTTAATTGAAACAAACATGCATTACCAATCCCAAACAAAATTCCAACAATAATCCAAGAACATAAACATAAAAATAAAAACAAACAAGAAGAATTTAGACCTATAGTCGAATTTCTAGGGTTTTAGTTGACCATGATCTGCTAAACCCAATTACAAGTTAAAATAAGGATTAAAACAAGAATTTAAGACTTATAGAACATAAATTACTTCCTCTAAGTGCTTTTAATAAAAACATTTTGTAAGAAGAATTGCCTTACTTCTTCACAATTACCCCTAAAAATAACACCTCATTTTCTTTTTGGACGTATGAGAAACTTCCCTAAGGAGGTACTAGGGAGATGATATGATAAGAAAGATCGATGGAATAAAGGTTGTGATGGTTTCGACATATCCAAACGAGTCGACCAACATGTATAATCAGGAGGGTGAAGTTAGCTCTTTCCGAGGACGTCGCACAAAATAATAGGGTAGTGGATTAGCACATGTCACAATTTTCTTCTTTATGTATGAGTTTTGAGTATAACATATGTTTGCACATGTGTCCCTCGTTACTTTTTTGCTCTCTTGTTATATTTGTCTTATTGTTCTATTGTTTATATTTGTATAGCATACATGAGTTTTGTTACTTTTTTTTCTTTATTTCTTGTTTTTGGCGCAAACTTTTTTATTGTTAGAGGTCTCCAATGGAAATAGGTTACCCTTGGTTGGAAGTAAAACTATAAATCTAAGGGATTTTGTTGAATATAGATATTTTTTGGGGTTGAATTCCAAAAAATAGACACAAAAAATTGAAATTTCAGGTATAGACATAGATTCCGTGGAGGTGAGCTCCGAGGGATCCGCGGAATGAGTATAAGCTCCGAGGAATTGATATGGCAAAAAAAAATTATCTTAAGAACAATTTCGCAGAGCTACCTCCGAGGAATGAGTATAAGCTCTGCGAAATGGTTCTTTATATTTTTTTTCCCACATTGATTCCTCGGAGATTAAGTCGGTTCCGTGGAGCCCTCGGAGCTTACCTCCGCGGAATCCATGTCTATACTTAGAAATTCGATTTTTTGTGTCTTATTTTGGGAATTAACCCCAAAAATGTCTATATCCGGAAAAATTCTCTAAATCTAACTTTCCCTTTATCATATTTCTGATAGGGAATTGCATATTATTGTTGTATTTTTTAGGATAAAAGAAGTATTATGAAACGAATGATAAATATAGGGGGTATTTATGTCCTTATTTTAAATTAGAAGGGTATATCGAAGAAAGTGAATATAGGTTTTAGCCTCTTTCCCCAGACAACTTTTAACGAGCACGGTTGATTTTGCCCTCTTTGCCGCTCGCTCCGTTGTGCTCCGGTGCGGTAGTTTCCGGCGGCCGCTTAGGAAAATAGTAGTATAGTTTCAATGGCGAAGATAACGTTAGGCTGCGAACCAGTTATCGGATCACTGATCCCGTCGAAGAAGAGGGATTATAGAGTCACCAACAGGCTACAAGAAGGCAAGCGCCCAATTTACGCTGTCATTTTCAACTTCATCGACTCTCGTTATTACAATGTATTCGCCACTGTTGGTGGTAATCGCGTAAGAGTCTCCTGTGTCTTTTCTCTGTTATCGTTAGCTTACTGAAAACTTTCCAATTAGATTGCGACTTTCAGTTTTTTCCTTTAGAAATCGACACTGAAGCTAGGAGGATGAAAATGTGATTAATTCACGATTATTTGGTAAAGTAGGCTTTCGATTAGGTCTAAATTGCGGAATGAGCAGAGATTAGCTGAAAGGGATCCATTAATCGAAACAGACAGATAGTTAACTAAATCTATAGTCGTTGTGATGTTATACATTTCCAGCTGTTTCTGGTTTCTTCTGTACTTGTTATATGATTAAACGAAGATGTTGATATTTTTAGGTTACTGTATACCAATGCCTTGAAGGTGGCGTTATTGCTGTACTACAATCCTACATTGATGAAGATGTAAGATTAAACATATTCTATATTAAAATCTTATCTTCTTAGTGGGAGATATATGAACAAAACCTGGATTTCCATGTGCATTCTAGATCAGAAGGACGAGTCTTTCTACACTGTGAGCTGGGCATGTGATGCTGATGGGACACCATTGTTAGTAGCTGGAGGAATCAATGGTATAATCCGTGTCATTGATGCTGGCAATGAGAAGATACACAAGGTTAACTTCTTTCAATGTGATAATAGCGATGCCATTTTGTTTCTTTATTCTGTAATTGTAATTTGTAACCCTATAATCATTGTTATTTCCTGCAGAGTTTTGTTGGCCATGGAGATTCAGTAAATGAAATCAGAACACAAGCATTAAGACCTTCTCTTGTGCTTTCTGCAAGTAAAGTAAGCATCATTCCAAATTTACAGTTTGGGTCCACTAAAGTATATTCAAAACTGATTCTTTTTTGAATTGGAATAGGATGAATCTGTTCGTTTGTGGAATGTTCAAACTGGAATATGCATTTTGATATTTGCTGGAGCTGGTGGTCATCGCAATGAAGTGTTAAGTGTGGTTAGTGTAGACTTGTTATCTCATTTCCATTCAATGAAACACTTCAAATCATTTATTAAGTATATTTTTTTAATATTTGTTTCAGGATTTTCATCCTTCAGATATATATCGTATTGCCAGTTGTGGTATGGATAACACTGTAAAGATCTGGTCAATGAAAGGTAGAGTCTTTTGTTAATGGTGTTTTTTCTACAAAATATGTGAAGTAGTGAATGTTAATCTTTAATTGTTATTGTGATTGAATTTGTTGCAGAGTTTTGGACGTATGTTGAGAGGTCTTTTACATGGGAGGGATCTCCTTCACAATTTCCTACAAAATATGTGCAGTTTCCGGTTAGATTTTGTTTTTTTTTTATTGATTATTTTCTTTTGTGAAATGGGCATTTGTCCCTTTTTTAATCTAAGGCCAACACTTGTTTAGGTGTTAATTGCTTCAATCCATACAAATTATGTTGACTGCAATAGGTGGCTTGGTGATTTCATATTATCTAAGGTAACTGTCTACCTCATACATATTTATTGTTTCTATATATATTTAAATATAAAGTTGATTTATTTATTTTTTGTTTTTTGTAGAGTGTTGATAATGAGTTTGTATTGTGGGAGCCAAAGATGAAAGAGCAATCTCCAGGAGAGGTTTGATACCATATAATTTACTTATATGCAGATATGTGTGTGTGTGTGTGTGTTATATTACTTGATTTTTATGGGTGAAGAATGAAATGGTGATACATTATAATTAATTTTCAGGGCACAGTAGATATCCTTCAGAAATATCCTGTCCCTGAATGTGACATTTGGTTTATAAAGCTTTCGTGTGATTTCCATTACAATGCAGCAGCAATAGGTAACTATGAATTAAATTATGATGCCTCTAAAAAAAAAAGTTTGTGTTTTTTTCTGATGGAATAAAATAAGAATTGATCATGTAATAATATAAAAAGTTCATTCTAGTAATGATGTATGTAATGAATGTTGAACAGGCAACAGAGAAGGGAAAATCTTTGTATGGGAATTGCAGACTAGTCCACCTTCTCTCATTGCAAGGTTTGCTTTCTTAGTTTCTCAAATCATCATCTAAAGATTAAAGAGTAAAGGGTAAAGATTGATTTGATTAATTTTCAGGTTATCCCATGTTCAATCCAAATCTCCAATCAGGCAAACTGCCATGTCCTTTGATGGCAGGTATAAAACTATAAATCTTTCTTCCTATTTTTTTTTTTTACTTTTGCCTTTTAAGTGATGTGTAGAGCATTATTATTTATTACCTTTGATGATGTTGAGATATGTTTATATTTCAGCACAATACTGAGTTGCTGTGAAGATGGCACCATTTGGCGGTGGGATACAGTTGCAACCTCCTAACCTTATTTAAATCTATCCGGCTATACTGTTTGTACCTTGGCTTGTATAGTGACTGCTTGTGCTTGTGCTTCATCGAGTTATGTAGAAGAATGCATTATCTATTTTTTGTATTTTGTTTCTTCAACAATCATAGAATTGGACTTGGATTTGTAGCGGACTATATATACATAAATAGAATAGAGAAAACTGCAAATTTGGTCCCTAAACTTTCAATTTTGCATAGAAGGTAGACCTGTCAATGGGGCGGGTTTTGACCCTGATTCGCTCCAAACCCGTAAGAATTTTACGGGTTTGGATTGTAATTTTCGATTCGTTTACCCGTTTACGATCCATACCCGCTTACCCTTTTAATAAAAGGGTCGGGTATGGATCATTGTCGATCCGCTCCACTTATAACCCGCCCCATTATATATATATATATATATATATATATATATATTATATATATATATATATATATATATATATATATATATATATACCACTCGATGTCTAAGTAAAATATGATTTTTATTGTATTGGACTTTGAGTATTAATTAATGTACATCTTGTTTAAGTAGACATTTTATCTTTTTGAGAAATATTACTTTGTGGAACACATAAAAATTATAAAAATTTAATATTATAAAAGGGTCGGGTTAATGGGTCGGGTATTCGTTGATTCGGTGGATACAGGTATGGATTCGACTATTCAAGACCCTGAGGGTTATTGGAGCGGAGCGGGTCATGTTTTTATTTTTTTTAAACGGGTTTGGATCAAGGGTGATTCGCTCCAAACCCGCCCCATTGACAGGTCTAATAGAAGGTCCATATGGGCATGTTTCATTGTGGTTTTGGTATCTAGTTTTAACCCCCATCTTAATTTCTCTGTTAAATGTTATGAAATGACGAATTTGCCGGCTTTTGGTAACCATGAGAGGCAAGAGACAAGTTTCATAAGGGCAGCATGATATCTTTTGGTGACCACTAATTGAGTTTCCAGAAATGGGTACTCAGAGAAATCTTCAATAAAGAGAAGTTTAACCCATCTTCCAAAACACCATCAAATCCCCTGTTGTTAAAAGCTCAGTGAACTATAACCTAATTTTTCTTTAGCATTGCTGAAACCCAAAAATTGAAAATCGAATCAGGTTAATAAAACCTTCAGAAACTATTCTAACCTATTGTAGGGTTCTAATGCTAAACTGATTTCCCTAAATCTGAAAACAGAAACTAAGCAACATCCTAGAAATTCCACGAAGACTACAAATCAATGTTGGCCTGTAAGGTTCTTTTCCCCTTCATTCTGATTAACAAACAACCTCAAACTTCAAATTCAAACATCCATATTAGAAGAACGATGGATGAACTCAGGCCTCTAGGGAAACTCATTTGGGTCAAGAATGGAGCAAGGAGAACCGTGAAGGGGATGCATCGATGAAAAAACAATTGATGGGTATTGTTGATTTGAGGTGTTAGCGATTCTGAGAGAACGAGAGCTTTCATAAGATCTTTACATAGTGATGATGTGCATGGGCCATCTTCATCTTGTTCTACAGAAGCAACAACAGACCCACTTAGGTTGGTGGGTATGGATCACACTTTCCACATCATTTTATTTGTCACATCATGTTGTCTCCACACCATTCCATATTTGTTAGGAAATACCCACCACTTTAATTTATAGGATAAGTTTGCATTAAAAATTATATAACCATGACATTACTCCTCCACTAGGTGTTACTCTATGTTGTCATCTCCACATACCGGCCACAGGCCACACCCTTGAGGTGGTGCTCTGGCATGCTCCCCGGCGTAGAGGGAGGCTAAGGATTATATATCCATACCCATCAGCCTTATTAATAAAGTGGTGGGACTCAAGATAGGTAGAAGTGAGATGTGGGGTTGGGTCCCACTTAGTAATAAACATATATATATATATATATATATATATATATATATATATATATATATATATATGTGTGTGTGTGTGTGTGTGTGTGTGTGACGGTAAAATCCTCATTTCATAAAATTTAGCAAACAAATTAGATGAGGGTTAAAACCATGGACTCAAACCACAACAAAGCATTACCCATAAGGACCTTCTATGCAAAATTGAAAGTTTAGGGACTTGAACGCCAATTTTTTGACAAACACATAGACCAAATTTGTAGTTTTCTCTGTATAATATAAACACATAGTAAACAACTTTATCCAGTAGTGTGCAAATGCAAGCAACTATGTGGTGAATAAAGTGTTTTTTTTTTCATACAAAATTTCGGACCAGCTGACTTTGGTACATGTGCTGGTAAATAATAATAATAATATATGTAAACACTATTATATACACAAAAGAATGCATATATCTAGGAAGAGGGAAAGGGAGAGACCATACAATACCGAAATTGTACAACCACAGCAATAATGTAGAAGGTGGAATTAGAGTTGAGTCTGCAACTTGGCCAATAATTTCTGCATACTCTCGAGTTTCAGAGTGAGTTCTTGTACACTATGAAGGTGTGGCTTGGTGGACTCAGAAGTGCTTAAGTTAGCAGCAAGAGCTGTGCAATTGGTGTGTGTATCTAATAATGCCACCTCAAGTGAGCTTAAAGTTGAACCCAAGGATGTACTACGTTTGTCATCTGAAGCCAATAAGGAAGATGGACTCAAGCCAACAACACTAGAAGAACCATTACTATTTGCTGAAAAGATCTTGTCAAACCCTTCACTTCCTACAAGTTTTCAGTTGGATAAGTTCCAAATCATATATGTTTCTTTGTAAAAAAAGGACTTAATGGGAAAAAGTGACTTTCTCTATTAAGTCCATATCAACTTAATAGATTAGGGGGGTTGCTTCTTTTTGACTTAATGATCAAAATAGGTTAAGCACTTAACACGTGGCTTAATGTGTCAAGAGACTTTAACCGTTTACCTATTTGTCTTTTTTATTTTGTTTTTCCACCTTATTCATCTCATTTTAGAATTGATGAATATTGCAAAAAAAGAATTTGGAATATAAAGATAAAATGGTCATTTGACTCATCCAGACGATGTATTCAATCTAGAGAAGAAAGAAATATTTACCAAGATTACTTAGTTGATCCATTGCTGTCTGACCAATTGATCCTTCCAACTTCAACACACGCAAAACCCCAGCAGTTATTCGACCCATGGAATCAACTTCCGACTTGCACAGTTTAGCAACATGTTGCAACTCATCCTTGGTTACAATTGCCTCAACCTGCTCAAATTACCAAATTACCCATCCATCATCAATATACATATATGCTCTCGATCGATTGCATAAAATATCAATTAAAGCTACAAGTAAAATTACCGGATGTTTCACAGAAAATTTCAAACTTTCCACCACCCACTTAATCACCCCATTAAGACCATCATCTTCAGATAACACTATGTCAGCTTCAAGATCCACCCCACCATGTGGCTCAACACTTTCCTTGTGCCCATTTGAAGGTACAACTCCTTTATGCTGCTGCTGTGGTTTCAACGTCTTTAACCCTTCAACACCAACCTACATCAATTTCCAATTTTATATATAATATCTGTGAACAAACAACATAATTATAGTAAATAGCAAATTAGATTTTTGGTCCTTGAGTTTAGTTGGTTTTTTTTTTCAATTTTTTTGGTCCCTTAAAGTTGTCTCTTGCAATTTGGTTCCTTATCTGAGGTTTTTGTAAAGTTTTTAGTCCCTATTCCAAGTAAAACGACTATACTTTTTGGACCAAAATTGTAAGAGGACTTTTTGGGACCAAATTTGTAGATATCACATATACTTAGAGACAAATTACATTTTTAGGCCCTTGAATATAGCTGATTTTTTCAATTTTGATCCCTAAAAGTTGTCTTGGCATTTTGGTCCTTCCTAGAGGTTTTTGTAACGTTTTTGCTCCCTCAAATAAGTACCAAAACTGTAATAGAAACTTTTTGGGACCAAAAATGCAAAAACTACCTATACTCAGGTACCAAAAATGTAATTTACTGTTACAATAATGACAAAAATACCCACCGTCACTGACTCAATAGGATGCTTCGAGTTATTCTTCCCATTTACTAAGCGACTTTTCCTGCTGTTTGCTTTAACTTTAAAACTCTCAAAAGTTGTATGCCACGATCCCTCTTCTCTATTGAAAAACAATCTTTCTGCCACGTCAGCACCCTCCAACGCAAATAACCAGTCTTTCAATTCCAGTGATACGTCCACGTCATCAGGCGTACCCAATTGCAAATAACCGCTATCCTTCTCCTCTATGCTTTTATGAGATGATGGTTTGAAAAGTTTTGAAAATGGGCCCGCAGACAAACGGTCCAAACCTTCAGAAAGCCCAACCCCCGGCCCACCATCCGGTCCTAAAATTCCAAACCGGTGGAGTAGCGATTCGGTGTAATTCATCCCACCGGCTAAACGTACACCAGCAACACAAGCGGACAAACTTACACTATGACACTCTGTGTCTTGTGCGTTATATGGAATAACATGCACCATTCGTAAATTCAAAAACTGTTGCTTATTCCTTCCTTTTTGCACCCAAAAAACGGGTCTTAATTTAGGGAGACAAAATTCGTTACCATTTGAATTTATTAAATTTGTCTCAAAAGTTTCAGCACAGTCCACCTGGACTTTGTCCCAGCGTAAAATTGACGAAATTGCCATTGCACCACCGAGGGTTCTATGTGTAACTTCCATGAAAAGATCTTCTCCAAAAAACTGAACCAAGGGCATTATTTCTTGAATGGAAGATTCTAGAAAAGTTAGCTTTAGGTTTTTAACAGCTAAACTAACCGCAGTATCACCAGGAACTTTTTCGATTAAATTTCCATCACTTTTCACTGCTTTTTTCCGTTTACTTTTTCCAACCATGGCCATCTTCTCACTGACTAAACCAAAATACGCGTATAGATCCAATACGAAAAACAGTTGGTCAACGGAAGTGTTTGACTGATATTGTTCACACGCGATTCCTACTCTAACAACGCCACCTGGCGGTGGGACGTCTGTTAAAGGGGTCCCGTCTGCTGTTACCATTGCGACCTGAATGCAAGCGTCTTTCACTTCTACACATGTCAATTCCGAAGATTGGAGACCGGAATCGTTGATTACATTCCTGTTACGTGTTTCTAGAGATAAATTAAGAACAGAAGCGCCACCTGTCCATTTTTTCTGGCTGGCATCGACTGGTTGGCCTTTCCATAGACAGAAACACGCGGGATCTTTGTCAAGGTTGAGTAGCTTGAGGCGCAAGGAAGGTGACTCGTGAAAAAATAGGTTTTCAATATGAAGTTTTGCTCCAGTGAAGGAGTTATCAAATGAAGGATAATTAGATTTTTGATTTTCGAGTGGAATTGTGATGTCTGTTCCTTTGATGTTTAGTTCAAGGGAGTTGATAGAGAAATCCAGTGAAATGTCACCGGAATTAACCATGATTCCATCAGCTAGTAAAGATGATATTCTTAGACACGACTCCTCTTGAAGATGTATCTAAAAACAAGACATAGTAAAGTAAAAAAAGAACAATTCAGAGAATAGCAATGCACTTGCATTTCTTTAAAAATAATAGCAATGTATTTTATCTTTTACTATAATAGCAACATACTTACATTTTGCTACCAATATTGGCATTGTACTTTATTTGCTACATATTATCATTATTGGGAAGAAATGTAAGTACGTTGCTATTATGAGTTTTAAATTTTTTCTACATTGCTATCATCAGTTACATATGGGTAAAGAAATGTTAATATGGATAAAAGTAAAGTACATTGTATATATAGGTAATGAAAGTACCATAAGAGGCTGGCAATCAATGACAGTTTGTGTAGAAAAGGAAGGTGGGGCAGGTGAGGGCAAAAACTGGAGGCAATGGAGGGAAATTAATGGAACACGATCGCTTAATTTCCATTGGTCATCTCCTAATGGATATATTGGAGGACAGAAATTCTTTCCTGGTTAAATAAGAAATGGGAGATATCAAATTTTATATAGCGCATGAATATGAGAATATCAATAAACAAAACGTTTTTTTTTTCTAATATTTATACCAAAATCTGGAATGCGTAGTGGTTCCTCTGCAGCATCATTCATTGATGGTTGTACTAATGCACATGGTGGGCGAGAGGAAGTATCCCTGAATTTTATCCCAGATAAATAAAATTGTAAGGTTATTTTTTTTGACAATGGTATGAGAATAACTACAAAAAAAACAAACCATAGGATAGTTATACCGCAGAAATAGTCCACCTATCATGACCCGAGTTAAACATTTGGTGATTTCTCCATCAGAGAGGCTTGACTGAAAGACCAAATTGAATTTGCAATGTGAATCAGGAAGATAGAACAGAAAGTGAAACAGCAAACAACATAATCTTTTTGAGTGTCATTGAGAGATACCCGAGAAAAGAGAAGTGACTGCATCAAAAGGTCTAACTGGAAATCTGCAAAGTAAAATTAGAATCATTAGCCAGCTATTTATTATTATGTACATCATTTTATAGTTGAGTTGGAAATTACAAACTTCTTCCTTGTGGTTTGTCAAAAGTTACGAATTGCATCCCTTATAAGATTTTTAACCTTTTTATCCCTAAAAAGATGCGTTTGTATCCCTTTTCTTCTCTGGCCAATGTAAAATGACTATTTTGCACTTATCTAATATTGTTTTTAATTTTTTATTATTTGTATATTAATTACATCATAAAAAGTATTTTTTTTTTAAATTATCATATAAGGGCAACTTAGTCATTTTACAGTGGAGGGACGAGAAGGGATACAAATGCATCTTTTAGGGACGAAAAGGTTAAAAATTCTGGCAAGGAACCTAATCCATAATTTGACAAACCACAGGTAAAATTTGTAATTTACTCAAAAGTTATTATCAGAACTTGATAACAGTTGGATTTAGGTTGATATAAACATGTTGAAAATTTTCCAACACAACCCAACTTGCTAAAACAAACGGGTTAAGATTTTCAACCCAACCTGATCTGTTAGATAAACAGGTTGACCTGTTTACTTTTTCTTTCCAGCTATATATGATATATGTTAGAATTTAGATAAACAGGTTAGCCTGGGTTGACCCATTTAGATTTCAAACTTTACATAAAAAAAAAAGTTCAGACTTTGTTAAATAAGTTAGAAACCCAAATAATCTATAAAATTTAAAGAGACACATCTCAAAATTTACTTGTCCAAAGTGGTAATTGGTTTAAACATTAGAGTTTTGTAATTGTTAGACTAACATATTAAATATAATAAAAATTGAAAATAAATATATATTTAAACAGATTGGTGGGTAGATTTCAGAAAAAGAAAATTGAACACTAACCCAACCTATTTAGTTAAATAGGTTAAAAATCTCAACCCAACATGCTAATTTCAGGCTGTGTCAGTTTTATCCAGCTCTAGTTATTCTACAATGATGGGTTGTACATAATTGTAAGAAGTCAACAAACCAGTATCTTTGATGCAAAAGAATATATGGTCCACCATAATGGAGACTAGCGTACGCCCTGCAGCTTCAGCTGATCGCTGCCATAAGAGAGAGTTGCTTGTAAACAATTTGTAAACTATGTAACAAGGTTAACAATTGAAGAAAAAAAAATCAAACCTCTTGAGCATTTGGATTCACGTCTCCTCTATTCAGACAAACATACAATCCCGTAAAAAAGCGAAGAAGAGCGCGAAGCCCTGTTCAAGTTAAATTGTTTTATTCAAAATATGGTTCAAAACACAATAACGGATTATCAACAAAGACTAAAACCAACCTGGTTCACTCAAAGCTGGGCACACAGCTTCAGTAATATGTAGTTGGAGTTCCAACCCTAATGGACTGTTAAGCTCTGTTCTTTGTATGGTAATCTGAATATAGAATCAAAGATTAATCATATTTCAAATGCAATTCATAGATGATCAATTGAGGAGATTAAGTTTGTATTACATAAGCTTCTCCAGAAATTCCTTCAAGAAACCGCTCCCCACCGAAAAAAACTCTCTTTGCACCATCATCATCTTTAAATGCACCTTCAGAAAATGCTGCAAACATATCAGGGTGAGGCAGGAGGTCGATTGATAGATGCTCCCATTCAAGCTTCTGGTAACCACAAAACAAGTATTATAAGTACTAATATGAACATCAACTAAAATATCAAAAGCAATACTAATAAACAACAGTTTGAAAAGAAATGGTAGAAGGGAACATTACTTTGAACACATAGATGAATTTCTTGTCATTTGAGAAGTCTCTGGCTTCCTTAAGGTTTACAGCCTGATACGGGTAATCTCCAATCAATTATTTAATGTATCAAAGAAACTAAATCATCAAAATGAATTGGGTTTATAAGATAACCTGCCAGTTCTCATTTGTGGTATAAAGCAAGAGGTTGCGGATAGTAATAGATGCCATTGGTGATGCCCTGGTTAGTGAGAACACATATACAGAAGAAGACATGATAATGTGTAAGCAAGTAAGCAACAAGCAGATTATCATAGAAATTAAAAAGGATATTAGTGAGAGGGATGCTTAAATTGGAAATGTACCAAGTTGCCCCTCCACGACGTCTAGCACCTCCATGAGTTTCAAGTAAAAGGTTGACAGTCCTTATTTCTAATGTCATTCCATCTGCAATCTGATAAAAGCAAGTTGTCAGTGCAAGAATCCATGAAAGTCTTAAAAGAAATAGTTATGAGCTACAAATAAAGCCCTACAAAGATGAAGCCCAGCTTACAAGTATGACCTAAGCTCATAAACCATGGTTGTTAAGTGCAAAGCATAATAGTTGAATGCAAAAGACAAGAGATTTTTCAAAAAGCTAACAGACAATGGAAAAAAAGATATGATATCCGTCAATATTGCAGTAAGAAAGCACAAAGGCACATGTAGTACGTACAATTCACTACCAGCTAGAAGAAGGTAGCTTCCTACCATTGCAAGAATGACCTCTGCAAACCAACACCCACATATTTAAAACTGGAACCTCCTTTACTATGTTGGAAATTAGAAATAAAAAGCTTCATGAAGATAGTGGCTGCAAATCTTTATCAACTGGTTCTCAAATAGTAACATTCTCAAGATACAATATTTTGTGCAGCTCCATGTAGCTAGAAGTCATTTGCTTTTACTTAATATTCACTTAACTTCCTATATGTTCTTCCTTTGACTGCTTCACTTAACTAGCATGGGATATGAAAACTTAACTAACACAATCAAATTGCTCCATTGAATTGACATACTACTATTTTTTGGTTTCGCTAATCTCAGGAGTAGATGGATATTCTTTTCCCCTCTAATTAGCCATAACATTCTATGCAACCCTATGTTCAGAGATCATGTTTATTCAAACTGTCTAAAAAACAGAATACAATTAGCTCACAACCCCAGTAAAGAGCTACAAACTGCATTGTAAGAAGAGACTAACCTTGTCTGCGAATCCATATCCACTGCCTTTTGCAGGACTGGATGGCGTTTGTGCACTTCAAGAAATAAACAGAGAGATTAGCAAGTTAGGAATTGTAGTGGTACTTTAAACAACTTTGTTGTCACTTTTTGGTTCCAAACTAATAGTTACCTGTCTGTGCTCTTATATGCATCCAAATCATCATTTTTCTTCCAATACCAAATCAAGCTTATCGATTTGCACAACAATAGGATCAACTTGTACATTGCTCAAATAAGGAAGCTTAGAAACAAATCACCAGATAAAATTAGATAGTGTACAGAAATCAAATCTAGCAGAAGATATCACCAACAGCAATCCTTCCAAAGAAATTCAGATGGCAAGTTATTGAATATAAGTTGAAGAACAAGCTACGTACTATAATTTCTAACTTCCCGACTTTCGCGGTTGTAACATTCAAAGCCGGAGGCAATCCAAGACTCGCGTGTAACGCATCACCGTTTATATCTATCAAAATCAAATTCGTCACTCAAATTGTACCAAATTTTCGGATCGAAGCACCAAAATTACTAACACAATACCGAAATCGAAGTACCAAACCTACTAATACAACACGGAATTCTCTGATCGGAGCATCAAAAAAGCTTATACAACCTTAATACATTTGCGTCCAAATCAAGCAAGTTGCTAAATGCTAACCTAAATTGGAGAGCTGAACAGTCCGTCCTTGTAACTTGAACTGATCTCTAGTGAAGGATTTAAGCCAGTACTTAAGAGTATACTCCAGCGCCCTCGCGAGTATCGACTCCATGTATTTCTATAGGAAGAACTTCCACAGATCGGATGATACGCCGTCGACGCCGCCGGAATAGAGCGTGACAAAGCCACAGAGGTGGTTCAAAGGTGGTGAGGAATGAGGGGAAAGTGAAAAGTGAATCTCATGGATTGTGGTGATGATGAATGGGAATTAAAGGTGATGAAATGAAGTGAGAATGATGGGTTCAAAGGACGTGCGTTACGGGATCTCGGGGTGCCGTCAGCAGCTGGTATTTGACAGTCAGGAGATGGATGATCTGTCGACGTCTTTGGTCTCTTGGGGGTCTAAATCACTTTTTTCATCCTACAATACTTATTTTTTTTTAAATTTATTTATTTTACATGTAGTAAAAAGTAAAAACTTATATTTTATTAACATATATTTCAAAGTATGTATTTTTTGGTAGTATATATTCTCCTCTATAGATTTTATAGGGTTTTTTATAATTTTTATTTAATCATCTATATAAAATTATATCTAACATCGCATCATACTTATAATAAACATAGATTTTGTAGGGTTTTTGTAAATTTATGTTTAATCATCTATATATAATCATATTTAACATCACATCTTCACTAACAACAGCATTATATAATAAGATAAATAAAAATAAAGTCACACATATTTAATTATTTTTAAAACAGTATATGCAATATATATTAGCATCCACTATATAAGCTCTATAAGATTTTTTTTTAACAAAAAACTCTTAAATTTTGATAAAGCTATAAGAAAAGTTTTTTGCAAATTATTTGTTAATTAAAAATTCTTTTCATTAGTTTTTTCAATAATTATGTGGGTTTGATATGTTTTTAACCGATTATAAATTGATAACTTATAAAAACACGTGGAAATGATATTATATTCCTACAAACTTTTGATTTTTGTTCTAAAATGTCTATTATCTCTCTTTTTAGTATTTTAGGAGCTTAAAGTCCACTTTTATCAAGTAAAAAAAACATTACTGACAACATAAAAGGGTAAATTGATAATGTTTTGGCTAGTCACCAAAGTTATGTGCCACGTTCAGTAAGGTCGGTGTCATCTCATTAATAGAGAGTGTGATGTGAAATCCATAAGATAATAAATTGTCATGATCGATTAATAATCTCCTACTACTCGTCTGAAACAAAACCTTTCTCATCTCCTTTGTAACGTCCCAAAAATACCGAGTAAAAATTTCATTTTTAAATAAGTTAAAGTTGTTCATTCATTGTTCCAAAAGGCGATCAGAGTCAAAGTAATTTCAAAATAAAAGCATTTATTACAATTACAACTTCAAGGATCTAAATGAACCCATTAGTCTAAAACATTTATCACAGATTAGACATAAAAGTTATTAAGTGCATAAATCTTTGATGGATGCTATGCAATCAAGTCGTGCCCTTCCTTCAATATAAGAAAACCTGAAACAATTTAAACATGAAACCTTAAGCACGAAGCTTAGTGAGTTCTCCAAAATATCACATACAATACACATATACATATAACAACACGTGGTTGTGTCGGGTCTGTATCAACTCCATATGACAGCATGTAGATGTGTCGGGTTTGTATCAATCTCAAGTCCATAATGACTCTATATAACAACACGTAGTTGCATCGAGTCTGAATCAACCCCTAGGTTCGTATCAACCCCGAGTCCAAAATGACTCTATATAACAGCATGTAGTTGTGTCGGGTCCGTATCAACCCATAGGACAACAAGAGGCACAAAGACAACAAGCACATACAGACATATCAACAAGTGTCACAAAGGCAACTATCATCCTATAACATAATTCAGTGGGTCGGCATTGGTGCCTTCGACCCACGAGTATAGTGAAGAGACTCACATGAAGCAGTTACATAGGATAAAACCATAAGATGGGTTTCCAGCTCTTAAGACAGCTACAATCACATCAATAGTCCTTACTTAGCTCGTATCTGCATATTACTTATTAATACTTCATAATATACTTCTTATTCATTTTTATTATCGTTGTAGCAATTGGTTTTGTGGGACATTAAACCTCACTCAACCCCCAAACCCATGAAAGGTTGACATTACTTCTTATAATATATTTCCTTGGCTTTTCATAATATAGGACACATTCTCTAGTTAGCTTTATATTGAACTCTAAAGATTTCACAAGTTGATTATAAACATTGTCCCCTTTCTAGACCATGCAGGAAAAATGGTCATCAACGCCCTAGGAGGGATGAGAATCATTCCATTGAAAAATTATTTAAGAAACTAGAACCTTCCATCTAAACTCAACCTTTGATTTTATGCAATTTATATTTTTCTAGATTCAATTATGTATTTTAAAAAATGACTAATGAAAACAACATTTTTCTAGACCCACTTGCAAGAAATGTCAAATCCCACTAACTTAGAAATGGAATCATACAAAGTCCAATTTATCACTAAAACTAAACATAAATATTAACATTCAGGGAAAAACCTCATTAAAATGGAGCTCCCTAGATTTAGTTATGATTTTTACAAAACAACCAAAGTGATCAGTGAAATTTATGGACCAACGTGTGTTCAAAGTGAAAAATGTACAGTTGACCTTAAAATCAGGTTATGCCATGGATATGAGTGAAACTAGACATTCATACATTTTCATGGATATATTTCTTGCACAATTTGGATCATCCAATGATTTTATATGATTTTTCAAAGATCGGGGATAATTTCAGAATTTTACAAAACAATTGAGTTTGAGCTTACATTCCACTTAACTCATTAAGTCCTTAATGGTTAACCCCCAAAACAACTAAAACAGTTAAAGGTGACCTTAAACCAACTATTTTCAATACCACATAGTAAGTGACTTAATGAATTAAGAACTTATTCAAACAATCAACATATAAACTCACTTCTTCACATCAAGCTCGTTAGAAGAGATTTATGAGTTTGGATTTCAAACCAAACTCATTAGGTGCTTAACATAAAATATACATATATCTGAAAAACATAATACCATTCAACCACCATGAAGTGGTGGTTACATGGTGGAGTCATGGTGGTCATAGGGTGTTCAAAACCCTCACACCAAGCCAATTTCAAAGAGAAATACAACTAAAATTTGAAAGGAACGAATTGCAAAACAAACAATCTAGCTATAGGACTTGTACCCATTAATGACCTCACCACCACCCATTGAACTTAAGGTGGTGGCAGAGGAATTTTCCGGCAGCAGCCACCCCCCATAGGTGGTGGTTAGTGGTGGTTGTTGTTGGTTTATGAGCAAAACAACAATCATATGGTGTTCATGAAAACCCTAATGCTTGGATCTAGTTTTTCTACTTTGTACGTGCAATAATTGTCCAAGACTTGCAAACCCTAATCTAGCATACAACAAAACGAAATTAACATCTAATAAACAAGTTAGAAGTTACATTTGATTGTTGCTTGAAGATCTTGAGCTTTTGAGAAACCTAGCACCTCAAATGCGATGTCTCTAATGAATCACAAACACCAAAAGCAATTGGATGATCTTGGAGAGAGGGGAAGGCTAAAATCGGCTCTTGGAATCTCTAGGGTTCAAGTGGTAGCCGAATTGGGGAGCCAGGGGGTTCCTTATATAGCTGAAGAATTAGGGTTTCAGTTAAAGACCTCATCCGGTTGCTTAGGCTCTGAGCAGCCCACAAGAATCTTCCAGAATCAAGCCCTTCGGACGAAATCCTTATGGGCTCCCATAAGATTTCGTTCAACCCCTTTCCAAGGGTTCATCACCCCAAAATGCAATTATCTTATAATTACAATATCAGTCCCCCAAGTTTAATTAATATATTTTGACCACAAAAATAATTCTAAATTAATTATTGACCAATATTAATTAAACAAATATGATTTCTCCTTTAATATATTATTCATATAATATATTAATAAACCATAATAACCTCTTTCTCCATTATTCATCCAGTCAAGTTGCTCTGGTGAAGGCAACCCAAAAGGACCATGCTACAACCGGGTCAAGTACATACCAAATATAGTTATGGCTTAGACACCTAATCCAATAGTCTCCTACTTGGATAAGTCTAATAACTATATGTGCAAGTACGACTTCAAAATCCGATTAGCAATTGTAGCTCTCAAAAGCTGTTGTCGGACTCCGACACGTCCTATAGATAAGGGATCGTATAGTCCTCCGTTCTCAAGATATCATGTAGACAATCACATGGAACATAGTTATACTTATTATCCAGCAGTTTGTTTCTTGATATCTGATTTGTCTGACATAGAACTTAATTAAACACATCAATTCAGTCCTAACCGGGCCCGACACATAAGTCAAAACAAAATCATCGAGGGGCCCAAGATATCGCTTTTAGCCTCGTAGGATAAAAGGAACAAATAAACTTCGACTTATATGTTTGTACTATTTACTCATCAAATCGTACACAACAATGCATTTTATAACATCAAGTTACTGATGCGTCTACACATTAGCAATGCACAACCGAATCGTAAACAACAACTCATATATCTAGGTTTAAAGACTATATGATATTATTGTCTCACAATGTCACAACTAGGAATTTCTGATACGTTGTAAACACTTAACAAAGAATGACATTGTAGCTAAAACTAGAAAACATGTATGGTGTTTATTCAATGACAACAAAATTCCATCAAATACCCTATACAAACTTTCAAATAGTCAACAAAAGTTGGAAACCCTAAAAATCCCGGTTTAAGTCCATTTTGGACTAGGATTTTCTTATTGGGCCTAATGGACCAATAAGCTTCCAATTTGACTATTTTGGGCTTAGAACTCTTAAATGGGCTCTAATTGGACCCACTTTCATTTATTTTAACATTTTGGGCCATAATGGGCCTAGAATGAAATAAAATACTCTTATTGGGCCATAACAAATTTAATTAGCCCTTTTAGGCCATAAAACTCATACTTTGATTTGTTTTGGGCCGTGAACCATCTCCAAAGACCTATTAGGCCGAGAAATCATCAAAATGGGCCATAATATGGATTTAAGCACAAAAAGGCCCCAAATTCTTTCTTTCTTCTTCTTCTCTCGGCCCAACTACAAAAATGGGGGGAAAAGAGTTGACTTTTATATGCCACCTCATATTTGTCCATTGGAAACCCATGCACAAATCTCATACTTCCAAGCATCTATCACCTCACTCTCTCTCTTCTCCCCTCTCTTTTTCTTCTTCGGCCGAGAACACAAAGGAAAAACACACACGCCTCACAAATTATCTCCAAACACTCTCAAAGAACACTCTTG